TGTCCCAACAACCCTGCGAGGTGGGTTGAGCTGAGAGGGAGCGATGGGCCCAAAGTTCCCCAGAAAGCCTCCATGCCTGAGGGGGGAATAGACCCTGGGTCTCCCTAGTTGAGATCCAACAACAACCCTGTGAGATAGGCTGGGCAAAGTGAGAGAGAGAGAGAAAGTTTCCCCAGGGAGTTTCTGCGATTGATGGGGACTAGAACCGGGCTGTCTCTTTTTCCAGTCCAGCACTTTGCCCAAGATACAGCATGGTGGGATGGTTAGAGGGAGGGACTGGCCCCCAGCCCCCCAGCTGGCTTCTGTGCCTGAAGTGGGACTAGAACCTTGATCTCTGCTCCAAGCCCAGCACCTGCACCACCGGACCTCAGTACAGCAGTTCTGGTCGATCAGGGCAGACAACCTGATGCTGCACACGTTCCCAAGCCCATTATGGGGGTGACCCACAGAGGCATTATTGCCAATTTCAGTGGCAGAACTGCTGAAAATCAACAGTTCCGTTTTCTGCCATTGTTGCTGCTGCTGTTATTGTTATTAAATTTACATGCCACCCAACTTCCAGTGACTCTGGATGGTGGTGGAAACACACAACAATTGTCACGTACTCTTTAAAATAGCCCTCACAAAAAATCTAGCCTTACCCCAAACCCAAAAGAGAGAAAAGAAACATCCCAGCCCTTCCTGCTCACTGCCCTCCTTGCCCTGCCTTAAATACGTGGCACTGGAAGCTGTGAATCTGTGTGCGCCTGGCACCATTCCTTCAACAGAACCATCTTTTTCCCCCCTGAAATATCGGAATGTGGAAGTGAAACAGCTAGAAATGAATTTTACATTTTGTAAAATGACTGAGACCAATTCCCAGGCTCAGGGTGCTTCAGAGTGGAAGTCTTATCTCCCCTGAACCGGGGGTCCTCCAGATGTGCCAACCCTTTCCCAGAGTCCTGCAGCCTCGTGGTCATTGTTGGGAATTCTGGGAGTTGAAGTCTGCGTGATGGAAGGGCAGCAAGGCTGGAGAAAGGCTGCACAGTAGAGAAAGCATTTCAGATCCTTCCCGGCCGAAGGCAAACATTTGGATTCAAAGGTGCAAAAAGGTTCGGAGCATGTGGGGTCGTTGTTGGCAGCTCTTGAAAGCAGCCGTGTCTAGATCTGGGAATCAGCTGCCCAAGAAAATGTACATTTGTTTTCAGGAGTTTTGGCTGGGGTTATGTGTACGTCCACAAGCCCTGTTTTCCTATGAATTTGAAGCACTGCAAAGCCATATATTTCCTCCCTGATACTTTATCTCTCTTTGTTTTTACTGCAACTGCCACCTGCAACACAGCGGCTGGGAAATCTAGATTAACAAAACTCCAAGGCTGTTTGCATAAGGAGCCCTGTCAACTCCAGTAGGGACATTCCCTTCCATTTGCTCAAGTCTGATTGATCTCTCTTGGATTCTTTTAAGCTCTCCTCTATCATTATCTTTTCTTAAAGATTTGGGGGGGAGAGTTCTTCGTTTGTTAATATCTCTCTACTTTGCTTCGGCTACATCTGGATCCACCCTTAGAAAATCACTTGGCTGTTAACATGCAAGGAGTGGGCAACATTAAAAAAAAAGCCACAGTAGTCAAATGCGTTTATCTTTCTGAGTTGAGCTTAACTCCTGCTGACCTTGTGGATGCATCCATGCATTTTTCTCAGCCACGGTTCAGAAGGGGCTTGCCGATGCTTTTCCTTGTGGGATGTTTTTCAATTTCCAGCCTAGCCTTCAGCCCTGGAATCTCCTGGTGGTCTCCCATCCAAGTACCAGCACAGTCCTGATCCTGTTTCATTTCCAGTCCCAGGCATGGCTGGCCAGGAGCTGAGTGATCATGTAGAGAGGACAAGACCTTGTCATACACACAGAGAGGGTCTTCTGTTTTGGGAGTTTGGAAATAAGTTTTGGGGGTTTTCCGCCTTTGTTTTTAAAAAAATTAAGCCCATTTAGGGTTTATTCTCCTTTTTAGGGTTGCATGTTTCCTGTTTCAACATGCCTGGAAAGCTGTCGTAACTGTAGGCAGGCATAGCTGGGGCTCTGGGGCTGGAAAGGGAGGGCTTGGGAGGTTGTGGGTAACCAGCTGTGTTACTGATGTTTCCTTTCTAGAAGGGGGCACAAACACAAGACCCCCAATCCCAGGAATTCCTCCCCCCCCCACTCCCCATTGCCGCATCTGAAAGCTTCAAAAATGGCATCTTTCTCTGTAACGGTCTCCCTGTTGCAACTGCACAGAGCGTGCATTGCTGTGGGCTGGGAGCAGCGAAACCCCCGAATGTCACTCTGCGTGCACAACACTGGTGCGTCTGACCTTCCTCGCAGGCCGGCGTGTCATAAGAATGCTTCCAACTTCTTTATGCTGATCGTTGCTCCACTGGTGTTGGCTGGGTGCTAATTTGCACAGGAATGAGCGGGCGCCCACCAGGCAGCCTTGTGAATATTCTAGTAGGCTAGCGAAAGTAGGTTATCTGTCATGCACAGCATTCCTGTGATAAATGGCGCTGGCGTGCCAAGTCCCAGGGACGGGTGGTGAATGCCCTTCCGTGCTGCCAGTAAACCAGCCTCTTTGCTCAGATCCAAGCAAACAGGGCAGGGGGAAAGAGGGAAATCAGTGCTAGTATCAGCTGCTGGTCTTAATAAGCCCATTCTGCAGAAAGTGGGTGCTTCTCCAGCAGATGGAGGGAAGACAGTGGATTCGTGTTTGAAGTTAGAAACAACTGACAGGCGCTAACACTATTACGGGTGATGCTGATTGTTTTCTGATGCGCT